TCAGGATTGCTATGTTCTATTTCTCCCCCGACTGTGATTTGAGAGATAAAGAAGTAAATATATACAATGAAGAAGGCGAATAAACGGGATTCAAACCCTAAAGAGTAATATATGTAAAAACTATGCCAAGTTGAGTAGACAAAAAAGGCGCATATACCTTCTCGAGTAGTTCGAAACTTTTGAGCAGCCTCCGTTAGTTTGCATGTATTTGTCTTGAAATTCAGATTCCTTTTCAAAGCTTGTAAGTGAGTAAAATGACAATGGTACATAAACAATCTGACCAAACTTATCAAGTACCTTCTTACGGCCATCAAACGAGTTTTTCCGTTATTTGTGGCAAGAGAAGCTTCTCTACCTAATGAAATCTCTTATTATATTTCACACATAACAAATAGTTGGGAAACTTCGCATTGTTTCTAACTAATTTAGGTTTCCAAGTTTACCGAACTTAATAAGCTCTATACTATCGCTTAAAATAGTTCCTTAAAATCAATACGGGTTAGTATAATCATTGGGATTTACTTAGCGTCGGCGACGTAGTTTGAGACTATTGGTAAAGTATGGCTCATCAAAGATTTTCCCTGCAATTATTTATTATTGTATTACTTAGTAAAATGTAGGACACTTGCCTTAGAATTTTATTCTACATTTCATGTAATCAATTGCAGAGCAATTCGTCACGACGATAGCAAAAATGTACGTCAACGGAAACGACACGATAAACCTAATTACAGTTTACCTGCACTTTTGACACCTGCTTCGATAGGTTTATACTTTTTCATCGCAGAAGTCGGGTCGGGTCATAAATACCAGTGTTTCTAGCTAAGCAACCACATCAATCTTAGGTTGGTGAATTGCTTTTAGCATTTCATAAGAGGATGGTATTTCATCAGTAGGACTGGTTAAACCTCGTTATACGAAAGATATATCCAAAAACCTATTAAAAATGAGTTTCGGATTGCGATATAGGTAAAAGCAAGATAGGTAATTAAATTAACGTATATGACACTTACGTCCGGTTGCAGGAAAGCGAATTATAATCAAAATCCTAGATTATTTGCCAAATCTGAGTTTAAACAAGAATTTTGACATTTGATTGGCTGCATACTGCAGTATAGAGTCAATCAAATGTCGTAATACCGGATTAAACAATAATCCTGGATTATTTGACCAATCTTAGCGTGATGACTTTGGAAGCTTTCCACTTCAGATATCAAAATCTTTCCCATAAATCACAATCTGTCATTTTTACGACAAAAGCAAAAGTGTTATTTTTCAGTACCAATAGTACCGACTACGAAGAGCGCATTTAGTAGGTCACCCAAACCAAGAGTTCATTCAACGAAACAACGGCTGTGAAACTAAAGTGTCAAGTTGTCCGGTAGATCCAGAGATCCATGGCGAATGCGGAAAAGTATATTTTAAGGCGGTAAAATGGTCGATTTATTTACTGTTTATTTTGGTGTTTGAGATTAATTTTGCAATTACTGTTTTCCTTGCAGTTTGGTTGACTTTTTTGGCCTCGTGACGTTATTGAAAATCTTTAATTTAATAAAAAATGATCAACTTGCTCAAAATTTGGATTGGCATGTGTGAGATTCGGAAAATTCAGTACTACTTCCTTTCAAACATTTTTGGTAATTATTAGGTATTTATCGCATTTCAGTTCCAAACGGTTTCCATATGTTTTTTCACACAACCCCCCTCCCCCTTTCGTCTTTAATTATAAAACAAATCTTTTCGTTTCTTCACGCTTTTTTAGCGCCTCTTTTATGCCACCGTCACATGTATTTCAAGCCTCCTTCACGATTCTCCCACACTTCCGCTTCATTTCGTCCCGACTTCTATCCTTAAATTGTATACCCTTTCCCACACACATATCCTCCTGAAAGCTCCTTTGCCATCCCTTGAAGCCTTAAAAATGTCCCCTCCTCTTCAAAGTTCCTTCGCGCATACTCCTTTAGCTGCCACCTTCCACCTTTATGCCCCTTTGGCCTCCTCTCGTACCTTTTCCAGTACACTGCATTATTTTAACTCCCCTTCCCTCATTTATCCATTCTTCTACACGTTTATTTCAAGCCCTCTCTACTCTCCCTTACTACTCCTTCAACGTTCAGGTGTTTTTTATACCCTCCCCTGCAATCCACGGCCGGTATTTATCTTCAATTTAGATTTAATTACTTTTTACCCTACATTGTACTAAAGGACGTTTATACGTGTAAAAGTGCATATTTTATTTTTATTAATTTATTTTTTATTATGCGATGGTACAGGGTGTTCCAAAGTGCTCGTTTTCGATGTTTTTCGGAAATATTTTGAGAACTAAAAGAGATAGAGTGATACGATTTGCACTTTTAGTAGTTACTTTTCACAGCTGCATAGATTGACGATGTCAATTTTGACTTACGCGTACCAGGTAACAGCGCAAAAGTCCAAAAAATGCAATAAAAAGTGGGAGTATAAAAAAGTAGAAAAAATAAAAGTTATGTAAAAAAAGTCTCTTAGTAATCTTTCATAGAAACCATGCAGATAAAAAACACGGCGCTTGCGCTTTTTAACTTAAGCACGCCTCATTTTGTTGCTATTGCTGTGTTTTCTGCAAAACTTCACCGTAGATAAATCCTTTAGCCAAAAAGAGGGTAATAACCAAGATGTTATTATTCCACTAGAGAAAGGTACACAAGTTAAAATACAATTTGTAAATATACGAGTATATGTGGAGGGCAGTATGTGTATCAACAAGTGAACGTATCACATAAACTACTCAAACTCAGTCGGTTGCAAAAAAGTTATAAAATAAACAAACGCAAATAATGAAAATATAAATAAACAATCCGAAATTTACTAGAATCGTTCATGCGAGTGTTCGAAGTCAGCAACGCACGTGCTTCTTCTGGTAATGATATTTGGCATCTAAATTTTATACCTACTGCATTTAATGCCGAAAATGTGTAGCAATTTTGATATTTTGACTCAAATTCCAAGTTATGATTTTCATTGAGGAGTGAATGTTTTTGGACAGTGCAAAGTCGGAAAGGGTG